CGATAACACCGTTCACAAAATGGTTGCTTATCAATTGTTTTCACATCGATTTTATACTCACTACTTAAACTATCGTTATTGTTTATTAAAAATCAGCTACCTTAGATAATTTATACGGAACAATCGACGTTAATAATATTGATTTATCGATTCCTATTGCTGATGAGAACCACTGGCAGGTATGCAGAACTTCCCCCATTTGAAAAGGTATTGAAGATAGGTAGCTTGAACGGAATTTGTGACGGGTTATGCATCCTTGAACAAAAGAAACGCAGTAGATGCATAGAACATGGATTTTGGATATTCCGAATTAAAAGTTTAATCGTGGCAGAGTAAAGGAAAATCGAAGATTGGCGCTGTTTCAATGAGTTAGTTAGTCGACAGAAATACAAGATAGCGGTCCGTACGTGTCTATTTTTAGCTAGGCGCCGTCCTTCGGTTTTACGCAACTACATAAAAAGAATGCCATTTGTTGCGGTCTAACTGCATTGTCATATATTTGTTTTCGAACGAAAATATTTTTCAAACGACTGAAGCTATAGAGCCCTTCTGATTTTAAAGAATTGTATACATCCAGCAAGTTTTGGATTTGTTCATACTTGATTAAAGATCGGATAGATAGTAGAGTAGAAATTATTCAATTACATTTTTGTTAGTTTACTAGTTGCAATACACCATCTGTAGGAAAAGAAAATTGTAAAACAGATTCTTGTTGCAATTAAAGCGAACGTATTATTAACTAACTATCGGTACTGTAAATTTCCATTTAATGTTCAACTGATAAAAAACATAACGGATCGGTAATGTGGAAACTATAACGATCGCCGCTGAATTTACGAATGTTGTCCTCGTAATCAATTCACGAATATAGATTTTCTTCTACAAAACGAAAATAAATTTAACTGCCGTTCTCAATCTGTGCGATCGAATAAATCTAATTTTTAACTTCTTCATAGAACCGGAAATGCTAGTCAGTTAGGCCGTCTGCCATTGGTCGAAACAAATGATAGTCAGAAGGAGCAACGTCGGAAGAATACGGTAAGACGGCTAATGGCGTAGGACCGGTAGGACCAGGGATCGTATAATTTGTCCCTCGGCCGGAAAGTGGGGACGATACGACCATGATGGGGACTGGTACTTAATGGTGTATGCTAGGCATGGTCAGCGATGGCGCATGAGGAGAATAGTAATCGAAATACGGGCGAAAAAGAAGGGAAGCGAGCCGTGCGGGATAAATTATATGATCCCTGGGTAGGACTTCCCGTCGTTTATCTTTCAATGCTCGGCTCAAATGCATCAATTACTTTCGATACCGATCGCCTGTGATTGTTTCAGTCGGTTTTAGTAGTATTATTAGTATTTAGTAGTAGTCGATATATGCTTATAAAAATAAATAATATGAAAAATTATAGCGGCCTCCTTTATTATTACCTAATTTAAATATGGCCTCTAAGGGTAAGAAGGTTCCTCATCTCTGGCGTAGTAGTTTGGAAAAATTTGGAATATTGATTAATAAAATGCCGTTATTAAATATTTTTTTAACTTTTGAGATTTCGCAACTTTCGTTAATTTGGCTTAGAAGGAACTAATTGGAATCTTGCTTGTGTCACCATACACGTTTTACTTATTCCATCACCTATAATTTTTACCATTGTAAAAAATTTAAATTATGATGACTTACAGAAAAAACTGCATATATTTCTTTAAAGTAGGTTTTACCAATATTTTTGTATTAAGAATCATTATATACATACAGAAACCATATAACACTCGATTCTATCGCAGAATATTGTACATGGTTCGTATACTTATCTGTGAATTACGTAATACTTTGTGAATTTCGTTCACTTTTCACTTCCATCACACTTTTGTAAGATTCGTACACACACACACACACACACACACACACACACACACACACACACACACACTTCACTCACGTACGTTCTCGTCATCAAAATATAATTACATAAAATGATAAGTTCGAAATACATATTTACAAGTCGCATTATATGACAGAACTTTATCGTCACTGTTGGTAGCGTGAGCGAGAAAATTTGGTGTTCTCGTGTTCCTATCGAGATTCTTGTTTAATGCTTAAATTAACCCTCGGTTAAAATTTCCAGAAGAAGTCGTCTTAAGCTATCAAGACCAGTTAGAAAACCAGAATCAGGTCCCTGATACACCATGGAAGTCGAGTTGCAGGTAGAACCGTGAACGAAAGACGTATGCGCGAAATCGATTATTCTCACATCAACCTGTGCATCTTGAGGTTTCGGTTTCATTTTCTTTGAATAGGAATAAGATGTGTATCTATGGTAGAAAATATTATTTACTTGGAGATCATTTCAATTAAATACATCTAATATCAACTAGTTGCATTGCCATTATCAAATTTACCTATTCGACACATCGGTACATCCAAGCTCCCCATGTATTCTACCTTCACTGTCGTAAACGTGAAATAATTGATGTTCGTGTTTCTGTCGCTTCGATCCGGAGCTAATTTCGATGTCGGAACTAGTATCTTGCGTGTCATTGTCCGAACTTTGTTCGTAGCAATATTCATCATTCGAACTGCCATATACCATCCATTCTTTCTCGGAGTATCTTGGAGACTGAAGTACTCTGTCTATCAAACTGTCCGCAGGATCGACGAAAACTGTCTCCTCGCTGATATTGGTTGGTGGTTGGTTGGTCATCGCATAGAATTGCATTATCAATTATTATTATTTGCTATGAATATACGATTTTAATAGAATCGGATATTAGGATGTATATAAGATTTAGAATATGGGGTGCGTAA